TCTATATTTGATTAACTTACCCCGAAAAAACAAATTCAATTGTAATGCAAATTTTATTCTATGGGGCGACAAATGCAATTTAGAAACGATTTCAGTATCCAAAAAGCACAATTTACAAACATGAATTCAACTTAATCTAATTACGCTATGTTTGAACGTTAAATACGTTATTACACTATGTTTGAACGTTAGATACGTTATTAAGCTATGTTTGAACGTAAGATACGTTATTACGCTTTGTATACGTTACTACGCTATGTTTGAACGTTAGATACGTTATTACGCTTTGTTTAAACGTAGGATACGATATTAGTATTACGCTATGTTTGAACATTAGATACGTTATTACACTTTGTTTGAACGTTAGATACGTTATTACGCTTTGTTTGAACGTTAGATACGTTATTACGCTTTGTTTGAACGTTAGATACGTTATTACGCTATGTTTGAACGTTAGGATACGATTTATTACGCTTTGTTTGAACGTTAGATACGTTATTACGCTTTGTTTGAACGTTAGATACGTTATTACGCTTTGTTTGAAGGTTAGATACGTTATTACGCTATGTTTGAGCGTTAGATACGTTATTACGCTTTGTTTGAACGTTAGATACGTTATTACGCTTTGTTTAAACGTTAGATTCGTTGATGTAATATGTTAATCATAGAGATTTTAATGGGACAGTTTCGGCTACCGTTTGTCCAGTGTTACTTTAGTCTCAGAAACGAATTTTTTAGCTAAGCTAATCAGTTTTCACAGCTCACCGTCGAAATTTTAGACTTCAAATTTTTGTGCGTCATGAATTATCCGCGTTTGAATGTTAAAATGACGACTCGTCATTTCTTGAGACTCTGTTATATATAGACAAATACCATATAAGGTTAATCGAATAATATAGGGAAATGCTACTAAGCCTTAACCATATTTACGGCTTGATTGGATGAAAATTTAACCATTTATCAATCAAAGCTGGTTTTGCTTACTCTCTTCGGTTTTCGGCCGACAGTCAACAAAAAATGTAAATCGCAGCATATTGAAATTTCACGCAATTGTTGCGCAATTAGTACTATGAATGAAAAATGGATAAGGGGAAAATTGCCGGGAGAAATGGTGTTATTTCATAACACAATGCTTTTGAGAAGTCTTTTGATATCAGTTGACATGAGGTTTATCAAGCCGCCTGGGTAAATATCAGACTTCCCTCTTGATTTATCCTCATATCAACTTCATCAAAAGTCATGAATTGTATTTCATAGCAATATATATAATACAGAGTACGATACTGGTTTATGTAGATACGCTGAGAAATTAATTTGTTGTGTTCTGATTGTAATTGATCTATTTGTAGATTACCTCCCTTGGCTATTAAAGAGAAGAATTCATAGAAGTCGAGGTTAGAGAATTTAACTTTTTATATTTTAATTTGTTGGCAATTTGGTCATTGTTAGGACGTAACTAGTATACGACCAGATCAGAGCAGGACATTTTGTACAGATTGCATAATAACTACAACGGCAAGATTATTTTTATTTGTGATATTCAGTTTTTTTTTATTTCTTTAAACAACTTCTATATATCACAATAAGTGCTCTTTTCATAAGCTGGGTTCTAGCGGTTTAGTATTATTTTTAGTGAAAATACTTATGGTACCTGTAATTTTAAACAAATATCAGCAGGGAATGATGATACTATTGCCAATGTCATTTAACTTGACTCTTTTGAACCATTTATTCTTATTATTCGTTTTCTTAAGGACACAAAATTAAACCCCCCATCAGCATACCACCAGTTTACCTTTAAGGTGTTAAAAACTTGTCTGAGAACGTGCTATTTTCCCGATCTAAGACAATTATTTCTTACAAGAGATATAGTTTAATGTATTTCAAACTGCCATTTGCTGGTACAGCATTTGACAAAACAAATATAAACTCTATGGTTATGGTTTTTAAATGGATACCTCGCTGCCTGGTATTTGCTCTGAATGTAAAAACCTGTAAATTGGCTGTTAACTATATGGATATTACCCCTTAGAACCATTTCCCTTGTTAAATATGTATAACTTGACATCAGTTCCATTACAGCGACCAGGCTAATTACCTTTCGCAAACAGAAATAATTTATTTATTCTACTCATGACAGAGAAACAATCTAATCAGGGCCAGCATACAGGAAACAGAAAATACAATTTAGTTATATGGACTGGAGTTGAGAGGCGTTGAGTTGAAAAACCCAATCGGAGAATGATTAGGCTTCCTATCGCAGGTGTCCAATAAACATGGACTATGTGGACTTGCAATAATAATTTTTGAGTTGAAAAGTAATGATACCTATTTAAAGATCGGTTTCCTTTATTCTTCAGTGTCAAATTAAGCATTTGATTAATTGGTGTTTGTAATAAAATTATCATATAATCTTAATCATATCATTATGTTCTTATTGTATATAATTAAGAAGTTTAACCAATTATAAATATCCATGTATATACAGTCTGGATAAACAAAAGATTTTTTGACCTTTCATGATCGGTCACTCATTGGCATTTTGCTAGTAATTCTCTTCTAATTTAGTTAATTATGAAGTAATTATGGATATGTGAGACAAACTTGTATTTTTCAAGTCATTAGAACACCTCTACTTTCTATTCATATAAGTATTAGCATTTTCATTTTCATAAATGAAAAAAGGGAACCCATCTTTAATAGCGGAGAATACTATATGCAAAGGATAATGCATAATGGAAACATAAACTATAATCGCGTGACAATTTCGTGACATCATGGTTGACCAGTGGGGTCACCCCCAGGACAGGAAATTTAGATCTTCAATTCAGTCAAATTGTTTACCCAATTTCTAGAAATCTTAACAGAACCTGAAGCAAGTAATACTTGAAATTGATCAATTGTCTGAAGATTACACTGCGTGAAATTATGTATAACAACATGTTTCTGTTTTGATATTTCTATATCGCTCTACAATTGATTTATTGATCACTATATTTTGTTATTGAATATCCGATTCTTATTTTGTTCTTTCAGGTTATAATCGTAATATTCCTGGTTATGGTTCTTATTATCACCCCTGGCAACTACCAGGCCGAAATGCAGGTAGGCCTAATAATATACTCAATCCTTAGATACCAAGACGGCTGTTTACATTGTGGCTCTTGCAATTTGGGCTGGTCCTGCTGCGTTCCTGTGCACCACTTTAATCATTGTAGATGTAAGAACGTCACTTTGTATATGGTGATACATCTTATTTTGTCAAATTGTGATATTGTGTTACTTTTAAATATACCCGTGCACCATTGACATTACCAGGTCGCGTATTCTCGAAACGATCTTAGCGCTAAGATGTCCCACAGTCTCAACTTCTAACACTGCTTCTAGGACATTCCAGCACTAAGATCGTTTCTAGAATACGCGGGCATGCGTTCAAACGCGACCCCCAACTCAGTTGCATGAGAGTTGCTTTCGAAACTTATGGCCGTTATTCTTATTCACAATCTTATCCAACTGGTGATCGCTATGACTGTTAGAGCTAATTTAGATAAGATTCGAGGTTCTCAGATCTCACCTTCGTACACAATGTAACAAACGAAATTTTTTACTGTCTTTTCATGGAGCTGGACAAGAACTCTTCGACAAAACTTGTGAAAAACGTCTCTATCTTAAACTTTATTTTCTTTCTTTTCAGGATACAGATACAGAACGAGTCGATATTGAAAATATCATTTAGTTTTATATCAATCATAACAACATAAAATGGATTATTAAGTTATTTTGGACTTTTTAATTGTAGTTGGGACAATGATAACATCAATTTGCACCATTTCAGACATCTGATGGAAAATTGTAATGGTGCAAATGGATGCTATAAATGGCCCTAAAACATATAAAAAGCCAGAAAATCTCTTTAAAATCCCTTCAAATCTTTAATTTGTGGACATGTTATTTCATTGTATCGTCAACATTTTATTTCATCCTCATTTTTTGGTTTAATCGATTACATTAAGAATCAATGTCTTTTGTATTAGATATCGTTTTAGAGCTTAATCGCCGAGGTTGTGGACTCCAAAGGACACTCGTTAAGTTCTGTTCTCCCTTAGTTTTTAAGGGTGACCTTGAACGCGCTAGATTTCTTCAGATTTATTCAGCAAGGTTTCTTTCAAGTTTGTGCTTGTACTCGTGGATGAATTGAAATGTATATACAGTATCCATGTGTGTTGGGTAATAGTGGTCGATCTATTGATGTTCTTGAAACTATCGAATATTGAGAGAGTAATAACTAATGGTACTAGCGGCCGTCTGTGAATGAGACTCTAAGAACAATCTGAAGAGAGACAATTTCATTTTTGTTTAATGTCTCGTCTATTCTAGTGCAACACTCTAATTCGTGTACCGTCTTAATGATAAAGTCAGCTTGCTTTAATTATTGCGTGATAAATGATCCATGGAATGAATACAATAAAGGTTACATTCATCAGTGAACTTACCAGATGCCACGACTAAGGAATAGAATTCTACATATAAGGCGATATATCCATTAAACTGAGTAATAACTGAAAACCGCTAGATAAAAAGCGTTCCAAATAATTGCTAATAGTTAAAAAGATAATTCCTCAGTTTTATGTATATTTGACACCACGTTAAGTCCACTGATAAACAAAAGCTCATTTCAAAAGTTCAAAAATAAAATTCCTTTGGTGATTAATAAGAGGTATTAAAGTAAGTTTAAAAAAAGAACTTAATTCATTTGCTTTTGTTGTATTATAGTTCATGTTTATTATTAAACTTCGTCTTTATTCTTGCTTTCCCTCTTGTTCTGGACTCTTTTTTTAACTCTTACAGTTTCTACCCATCTGTGACTATGAAAAGACACCCGAATCGCAAAACAAAACCCGCTATCCAAGATAACAGCTCCGGAAATTCCATGTCGTTCTGTAATTACTAATTGTTAGTATTCTCATTTCACATCAATAATACAAGGTGTAACAATAAAACACACCATTAAAAGTATTTATTTTCTTCATAAAATTTTGAATTGAAATACTATAATACCATAACCAATGGAAGATTTTTTTCTATAAGTGTTCATTGACATCTATCCACATTTCTCCAAAATATATACTAGGAAAACTAAATGAACCATCACCAAATTAAAAGCACAATAAACCATACTCCAAAAATGTGGTCGGTGGAATTTTTTAAATTCCCGGTTCACGGGGGCGTGGGGCCTAATGTTTGGACATTTTCCGCCTTTTATGAACTGGACCATTAGTAGGAACAACAAATGAAGAAGTAGGAGAGAAAACTTTGGTTTCTAGCGACTGGCACGAATGGTAATTATCCATCAAAGGCTTCACTGTTTTATAGATCTGAAAAGAAAAGAATGGAGTTTTACGTCCTACTTTTCTCTCCCTACTGGGAAAACGAAGACGATGTGGAAAAGATACAGGTTTATAAAAAACTGGATACATCTTGTCATTTTTGTATCATTTCATTAATTTTACTGACTGAAAATGCAAACAAATTGTTACAGCGGAAAATGTTAAAACAAACAGAGACAACGTAGCCTAAAGTATAATGGATGCATTAGATACATTTACCTTCTCCTCTTGAAGAAGTTTAGTAACAGCGTCTATATCAGGGGACATAAATCTGTCTTTCTTCCATGGTCTGAAATACAATGCATGTAAGATATTTAACGCAAGCAAAACGAACACAGAAGTAACCCTGTTTTACCCCAAATTAAAGGGCATATAATAGTTTTCAGTTCTACAGTAAATCTTCAAAAATATTAGAAAATGTTTTAAACCCAATCATAAAGATAATTATGTTTAAGCCATCTGTATAGAAAACGAAAATGAAACTTACCCCACCACTGTCCTGACTTGTCTTATTACTTCTTCCAATGGAATCGTTGTTTTTAATGGTCGGAGAAATTCAATCGCTTGACAAGCAGCTAATAATTCTATAGCTAACACTGTAATAAAAAGGTGTGAAGCTAAATTTGGACAATTCAAAACCGATTCGAACATAATTACATATTAATACATTCTTACTCCAAAATACTTGAATAAACTAAATGCGCAATTATATTTTCAATAAGTTGCCAAAACCTAGTCAGCACATCAAGAGAACTTAATAGGTTTACTAGCTTAATGTCCAAACAATATCCTTACAATTCTGCTGCCACACGAAAACAAGATCTTTCCGTTTATTTGAAATCTAGAATCTCCACAAATTCTGTACTTACCTTCAACTTTGTCAACTGAAAGGATCGGATTAGCATATTGGGATATTATTATTAGGAATTGCTCAAAACTTGAAACCGCTAAGGAAAAATAATATGATTTTTCTGCCTTACCTTGTTCAACGTGTTCAACAACTCTCAGAGCTTTTCTAGCAGCAAATCCTCCCATTGACACATGATCTTCAGTTCCAGCACTAGTTGTTAGGGAGTCAACAGAGGCTGGATGACAGAGAACTTTATTCTCAGATACTGGAAATCGAAAGAAGAAAATCTACAGCAACATTATGGAGAAGCTGGTCACACATGGCATGGCGCTTGTGTAACAGAAAGGCTTTTGATCTTGGTTTATCAATGAGAATGATTTTATTATAACCATTTCTTTTTTAATATCCACCACGATTTTAATTTTGTTCTGAAGATAATTGTACCAACCTAAAGCTGCAGCTGTACAATGGGCTATCATAAACCCAGAATTCAAACCACCTTCTGGTGTCAGGAAGGCCGGTAACTCACTCAATGCTGAAAAAATAAATGAGCATGTAAAGGGTACGAGGTTTCTTCTGAAAGGATTTTGAGAAGTAACAAGAACTGCAAGATAATCCTGTTTTCTACTGAAAGTGGATCCACAGACAGTTTTGTAGACTGCCATTTTGACCAATGTAACAAAGTTCAACAATTTCGGAAATGCTCGGTACCAAAGTAATGTAATAAATTTGTCACTTTTTTAGAATATCGATAGAACGCGTATGAAATCCCTAAAGCATTCAAACCTGGATTGACGAGTCGTTCTATTCGTCTTTCACTCATATTGGCTAGTTCATGTATACCAATTGCCAGATAATCTAATGCCTGTAATATAAATAATCGAATAGTCAGATCTGAACCACAGAATCAGAATTATAATCCAATGATATGCAATAGTACATTATACTATACCAATACACGAGAATGTAATTGGAATTCAAATATGATAAAATCTGTCACTCCTCGATGAACAATGCTTTGGATCTTTGGATCAGAATATTCTGCCTCTTAGTATTGGTTAGAGAGCAATTTTCAGATGTTAATACTCGACCTTTGCTGGGTATTCACCATGAAAATTACCACCAGATACTACTTCATTAGTTTCAGCAAACACCATCGTTATAACTTGTTAAGGACAAATACACCTTGTAAAAATCTTTGATTTTTATACTACCCTTATTCCATAGCGGTAGCATGCGGAAAGGGAGAGACATGATGCATACTATTCTATAGCCTCTACCCAGCTACTGTGTAAAACAGACAGGTAGACAGAAAACAGCAGTAAAGATTGTTAAGAATAAGACTGCATACAATATGTAAGGTTTTTGCTTGCCGATTACAAATTGAACAACAAATAACAAATGATTATCGCGTTCTCTCCTTAAGGAAACGAATCTCGAGAGAAACACTATGAAAGGATACCGGGTTATCTGTAGCACTATTCAATTCGGTGGTTAAAAGTCCACGTACAAAATCAACGGTATCGTTAACAATACCATGTACCTAGAATAAAATATAATTTGTATATATTCTATGAGGACTCTTCACTCTTTACAGACAAACCGAGTCACCCTATCTTTTTATTCCGCCTTCATTAGCCCACAAGGTACAGAAAAGTAGGACGTAAAACTCCATTCATTTCATTTCATTTCCTATCTTTTTATCGTTTATTGGACACGTTAGCTGTAAAATGTCATTGTCACTTGTGCTGTTTTATCTCATGATTTTTTCACGTGCGAAGCAGACAATACTTAGTCTTTTCGAAATAACTGCTGGTTTCAGAAGTCCACTGATATACATTTATTGCTCCCGATTTTGTTTTGCTATTGACTGAAATTTTGGTTAACGGAATTGTTTTTCTTGTACGGATTCTTATTAGCCAAACTCTCCATTTTCGCCATTTTGCCAAGATCAGCAACTTTATTTGCAGATCCTATCCTATAATGGACGAAGGTAGCGTTTTGCGTAAATGAGAAACATTTACACGCACCTGTGGTGTACATCTAAGAGTGTAAGCATCTTGAACTCTCTGACAAAATCTGTGACTTTCTACAAATAAATGTAAAATAACAATTCCGAAAAAATCTTTTCATAAAGATTTTTTTCATCCACGAGGTCACTTTTCAACCTATTAGCTTTATGCTCTTAAGATTAAAAGATTAACTGGATTTGAGTTCCATTGGCAAAATTTTTGCGGGTGTCGTTCGCAAGGCAGGTTATTCTCACCCCTCCATAACACCAGGTGTTACTCTTTAGCTGGGTATTTCAACTCCACATCACTTGTCTATATAGGTGAATTGCAAAATAAGGGTCGTCATCAAGGATCCGAATATTTTTGTAACGAAAAAGTTTCTTTGAGACCATAATTTATACCCAGAGAATTAATGACTAGCGTCACTTACCAGCAATTTCTGAAGGATGAGTTTCAGAATGAAGAAGAGATCGTAAATTACGGGCAACCTTTATCTGGCCTTTATGTGGACGAACACGGTGAATATCTAGACGATAAAAATAAAGGCTTCCTCGTTATGTAAACACGGCCAGTTTGAGAACTTTGCAACTATAACAAAGGGGAAGAAACTCGACTTTCTGGCGTTTTGAATAAAACGGGTTTCCAGTGATATTAGAATCTGAATCATTCAGCAACTACCTCGGATATAAATTGAATGAATCTTTGTTTCTGACATGGCGTGACTGTTTGCTTTGAATGGTTTCTATTAAATACTGTTATACATTGGAAAGCGCTCGTGGAATTTTCGTGGTGGACCGCTGAAGCATTGGACGGCTGTGAAATCTTTAACAATATATGGATATTTAGAAAATGATACAACGATAAAGAAATCTGACTCACCACTATCAAAGGCTCTAGTCGTTCCTTTTAAAACATCCAATGTTAAAGCAGCTATTACATCAGCTTGTCTTGAGATAGCATCGGCTCTTTCTACAGCTGAAACAAACAGATATTTCTTCGTTAATGATAACCTGATAGTATCACTATCACAATATTCAATAATACATAATAACTAGTGTGCGATCCAATCAAATCGCTGCATTTACACACTTACGTGATACAAGAAAGGTGGGTATTTAACGCAGTTCGTTATGGCTTAACTACTGTGAAGTACTGTACAGGAATGAAGCCAGCTCCAGTATTTATCTACCAAAATATGATAATTTTACCTTCAGCTCCCAATGAGGCTATCATCTGAGTTCCATTAATCAAAGCTAAACCCTGAAATATGTAGTTCAAATTTCAATTTGAATCAAACAGGTGCCGCTGACCACGTTTATATCACACAACCAGAAATAACCCTTGTCATACATCGGTATCAGTGTCACAGAAATATTACCAAATAATTGTATCTAATTGACAATAGGCCAGCAACCAAAATTTAAGACTACTCTAGAAATATATTTTCGATCCGGCATTCAGGACAACTAAAAGAATTTTGTATTTCTGCAAGATACTAGACCACAGTAAGCCTCTGCTGTATGAAAACGACCAATATTTAGTTTTATAAACAATTTTGAAACATCTTACCTCTTTTGGTTTTAATTTGATTGGTTCTAAATTGTTAGCTTCTAATACCTGTCGTAAAACAAAAGACCGATTTTGTGTGCATCATTTAAAATACATATACCAATGTAAAAGATATATAAGAAAGGGAAACATTGTAAGAAATTGGGTCTTAAAAATGAAATAAATATCGAATAAATGAACATGAATATGATGAATTAGATACTTACGTATTTCGCATCCGCCCATCCACTTTTAGGAGACCACATTTTACCCTCTCCCAACATGCCGAGAGCTAAATGGGACAAGGGAGCAAGGTCACCACTAGCTCCGACTGTTCCTTTTTCTGGAACCCATGGTAGGCAGTTAGCTAAATTTACAAAAGATACAATACAATAAATAGAGAGCAAACCAAGGCTATTCAAAATTGAAAGATACATCCTTCATTTTATCTTCCCCCCGGTTCACATGACTAATATTGTATAATAACAACATGAATGAAGATTGTCTCTTATGTCATTCTATAATCTATTAGCCTTATCTCCCAAACTTTATTGGGCATATGCTCCTCTTTGAATGTGGTGGGTATCTTTGGCGCGACAGGGTGTGTCCATAACTCGTATATGTTGGTACATTTATCATATATACACACCATGAAAGAAACTTTACTTTTCCTTCGGGTTCAAATACGGTGGCCCCAGAACCGAAGAAATGAAAAAGGGGCACAGATATCAGCATTATGCTATTCTATCGGATTTCTGATTATCTGAAAGGATGCCAATATTTTTGAAGCCAAATCAAAGAATTTGTTCATACCTGAGTAAAATGAAACAAAGTCATCTTCAGATCTTTCTATTTGTTAAACTGTACCTACCGTTTAAAGCATCAATAAGTTGTTTGAGAGTTTCCAGTGTTATACCACTATACCCTTTACTCAATATATTAATACGTAATGCTAGTAACATCCGGGTTCTCTCTGGTGATAATGGTGAACCAACTCCTGGAAAGTTTGAGATAGTGATGTTGAATATGATGAATTCACGTCTCAGACAGACGTGGAGATGATAATGTACAATATGTGAGAGATACTACAATGCATAATGATTATTACAAGACCATGTGCTAGTTGTAGGAATTAAACCCCATTTTCAGACAGGTCCGAAGCAAAACAAGGGAAAATTGAAGAGTTCATACACTACTAAAGGCTGATATGCAAGTGCTCGACTTCAAAGACTACTTGATGTAGTCAGTAATGGCTATACCTGCAGAATGGGAGCGGATCAAATTTTCTTGTAGTTCTCTGAAAAATAGAAATATATGATAAATGATATAATATCATGAAAGATCTAACATCATGAAAGATCTAAAATCATGAAAGATCTAAAATCATGAAAGATCTAAAGAACAGATCAAAAGATCAGAACAACTACAAATTTCCAAAATTCAGATTACAGCTCTGTGTAGGGCCAGACATGGAGCATTACAAGGGAAACTACTATTCCTACCCCGAATTTACACGTTTCTATGCCCTAGAACATCACTGCACCACAAGAAGTGATGGTTTATCTGTTTACCAGGGCCACATGGTTAGGTATAAAAAAAAATAGCTTGACAAGATACTTACACGAGTTTGTCAGTACCAATCGTAACATTAGAAAACTTTCCAAATCCAGTAGTTATACCATATACCACTGAAATTAGGAACTAGGTTTGTCTCTCGATAGGAAAATAAGAGGTAATTCCTGCTATTGAAACGAGTATTCAGATTTTGTTGAAGCTGGAGATGTAAGGGGACATAATGTCTCCAAAATGCAATTTAGCGAACGTCATTAATAATGTAAACATTTTAAAGAGATTGTAAAAGGTCTACTTTACTTTTTTGTTTATTGATTACACTGCGCCATTCATATTTTTTAGTTTGTTGATTTTGCAATCACTAAAACTAAGCGCCTTTATCAGAAAAGCTGCTAATAATATCTAAAGGCCTCTGAACAAAGCAATAAGAGTCTCCGATTCACATAAATAATCGCTTGGCAATTCCTTTATAATTGTCAATAATTTAAAGTAATTCAGTGATTTATAATATGTGGTGTACCATACCTTTCTTGGAATCTAATATACTGTTGACCAACAACCTAGATTTCTTCACCTTCTCTTCCGCTTCCACTGTCAACTTAAATATATATAATACGGTTGCTTCAGTGACGTTTGAATCATTTACGGGGGCCGAGCAAGGGCCGTAGAATTGTAAATGGATCACAAACCATTAGATCTTTGAGGATGCGATAATACGAAATTTAAAATTGACTTTCATCACATCTGAAATGCAATAGTTTTTTCTTATTTTGAGAAAGAGAGGGTGGGGGGGGGGGGGATCTTTGAGGTCTTAGAGCCATATTGAAAGTATAAACTTCTATACAGTGGGTTGAATTGTATCTGTCTTACCTTCACCAGGTAATCCCCTTTACCAATTCTAACCAGTTCATCTGTAGATAGACTGTTACCATCCAATGATATGTACTACAATATTTAAGTGGAAGATGTCAGGGAAAGTTTTCGTACAAAACAAACATTCAACTTGGCAAACGCAAGGTCATTATTATTTACTATGGAGCCGAAATTTGTTTTCCAATGAATTATTATGAATGATAAATGTTCAAGCATACGAAACAAAACAATAGCCTCATAAATAGCTCTTCGTATAAATATTCATATTCCTAGAGGGCTTGTTTTTATTTCTGGTTGCATTAGTGAGAGTGGTTATAAATCAAATTCATTACATTTTAAAAGACTGCCATGTTGAAATTTAATTTGCATTGATACCCTTTTGTAAACTTCGAGACAAACATGCCGCCATATCAGACAGATTTCCCTTGTCCCAATAGACATGCATGGCGACATTTTATATAATCTTCCCTTATCTTCTATAAGTATGCCAATACTCAAATCGCAACGATCTATTCTAGGAGAGAAGATAATGAGATGTTACCTCAATAGACTTTTTGTACTCGGCCTGATCTCTGATAGATATGTTAAGGAGTGGATATTTGAAAAAAATATTTTTCGAAAGATATTGCTTCTTTCATGAATTCAGATGAGAGGTGAGGATAGATGCTGTATGGTGTCCACATGTGTGTACGGTGGGGATTATGGATCAAGTAGAAAAGAGACGAATCGTGTTTTTCGAGTATTCGCTTCTTGTACTTTCTATCGATAATGCATACCCGTACATCACACTAGATACAATACCTCGTCTATTCCTAACTAGCGCCTACTCAGCAACAATGGATATTAATATGAAAATATATAATGTCACTTAAAACTACTTTTGAAATAATCGTGTGTATAAAATTATTTTTGGTTATTTCCCTTGGGATAAAAAATGTTATTTCTTAAGAACCCCTGAATAACGTTGAGCAGGAAAAGTGTTGGTGTCATTGTAATGCTGTCATGTCGTTAAGCAACAACTTCATATGCGTCTCGTTTATTACCATCTCTAAGAGCACAAAAAGGATACATTTTTTCATCAACATAGGTTATTTCAGCAGGCCCAGTTGCTGGGCTTGACATATCACTGTCCAAAACTGAAAATTAAAATAGTTGAAGAACTAAGTATCATACTTAGAACTAATAAGGAATTGCCTGTTCTTGTTCAGGTGATAATTTAGAAACTTTATACCACAGTTATGTTCATGGGATGTACTGTGTTGTGAGTCGACCAAGAGAGACGATAGTAGGTCGAAATCCTTTAAAAATTCGTAAAAAAGGGCAGAGTTTTGGAAACTATAAGTTAAAGAAATAAAATTTTAATTCCACGAAATATGACAAGCATAGGTGTAGATGGACATGTTTTTGTAAAAGATTTGTTAAGATGGAAAAACAATTCATCTTGTTGATAGGAATCCTATTTGTGAATTGTATTGGTATTCTAGAGTCCTTTTTGAGATTTTAGATGTTGGATTCAATCAGAACATCAGAATCATCTTAAGAACCTCGATGGGAGTTCAGTGCCTCATTGGGATTTTGAACCTCCTCAGGAGTTTGGAATCTCATTGGAATTTTAGAACCTCACTGTTAAAATCCTAATAAGCAGTTGAGAACCTCAATAGGATTTAAGAACCTCATTGGGAGTATAGAGTTCCATCCGAAAACCTCGGGATTATATTTAGAGTTGGAACCTCTAAATCTGAAAACCTATTATAGGAAACCTTAGGGATCACCTTAGAATCCTATAAAGACTAGATTATTAAGACTTACCAACAGTAAGAAAGTCATTATCATCCAGTACATCTTTGATCAAATCATCCCGGTCTAAAATAGCTCCACCTTTAGCTTTCCGGATCTCAAATACCCTTTCTTTAGCGTGACCTACATTACTTTTAGCTTTGTAAAATCTTCTTAAACACTCGTCACCAAACCACGATATTTTCTCGGTACCTTTACATGGTACTGCGAACCAGTCGCCTCGAATTCTAACTGATAACTTCATAGTTCAAACGAATCAACGAGTGTATCCAAACGCAATTAGAGGTGCGCTTAGCTTAATTACGTCTTTGTCGAATACTTATATCTCGAAAAACTTCAGTAAATATGTTCCACTTAGATTTTATCCTCCAGAAAAACAAACGAACTAATATATCCGAAGTCTACAAAAAAAATCCACAAAATTATCTATACATCAATGACAACAACTGAACAATCCCCACTACAGACAGTGCTCTAAACCTATCCCGAGAGTACTATCAGAAATGCGTTACAATTGAACCTTAGAATAATTGGTCTAGCAATTTGTAAACATCTGATTATGATATCTGAATTAAAGTAGGGTTCCCTTTCAGTCCATTTCAAGTGGTCGAGACAGAAGAAACCCCTTTAAGTTTGTCAGAATGACATTACAGTCCTTCAAGCTTTGAATGCAAATTAAATTAAATTGTTTGTCCTAATTTTTTCGCTCCAGATTGGATGAATAAAGACGATTATCACGATGCAGTGTGCATTTATGGTAATTTACCAAGTTAGCGAGCAGAGCTATCCGGTTACCCAAGGTCACGGTAAAATGCCAGTGAAAGCCATTTTGTTCTGTTAATAAGCACAAACGCATGCCTTAATCACACGAAAACATGTTTGTTTCAAAATGTCAAGAAAGAGTGCAATGCTTTCCTCATTTTCTTAAAACCCTGGAAATATTCTCCGACATATTTTTCATATTTAATTCACCAGTAAGTACCCTTTAAAGTGCATATATACATGGGAACGGGTCATCTGTGATGGATTAAGATTATACAAACCTATATTTATCACAGAGCCTCGAGTCACATAACGATTACCCGGTTCAGTATGCTCAGACTTCACGTCCCTGTGGGTTTATGCCGTCATTTCAGTTTAAGTCTTCTCGGGTACATCTTGTTTTCGATTATGCCCCTGTGTATGTTGGTTCATTTTTTTTGTCGTTAGCTTTTGTAGTTAAAGGTATTCCGTCGTTGTCGGTCTTACGTTGTATTTTTTGTTTTTACGGCGTTTCGGATATATGTCCTTGCGCTCCATTTTGTGTTCGTGTTTAGGGCCTGTGTCGTTTTAGGGTTGATATTCTATTTTGTTACTGTGAAGATTTCATGTCCCTGTGAGTAAATGGGTTATCTAAGAATCTACCAGATACAAGAGTCATGACCCACCCCTTTGACATTGTTACATCTTTACATATTACGACCGTGGTTGCGTATTTGGGCAGAGCTTTTTGCAGTGTGTTTTAAACGGGCAGTGGTGGAATTGGCCCCTCCCCACACCCACTAGAAAAATGATGTGCAACCCAATTATACCCCAATTTATTTTTAAATCTATAAATATGATTTTTATACGTTTGTGCACTAAAATGTGTTATGTGTAATGTGTTAAAATGCATCAAATCAATTCAATTTTTCGGAAATGTTCTTGGGAGGAACCCTCTCGCCATGAGAGATTTTAAATTTTTAAATTCAGCCTCGAAATTGTCTCCCCCGTTGAGTTGGTTGGTTGGTAGAAATTAACGTTCGCTTCCAGCGGATGCTAATATCGCAAACTAGATAGTTGTTGGTAGTCGTAGTGGTAGTTTGATTGGTTGAAATTGGATGATTGTGTGCTATTGGTTTGGTTGTTCATAATGCGTGAGATCTGGTCGGGTCGAATGACATTGCAGTGAAACTCGGCATTGGGTGGTTTAATAAATTGGTAATAAATTGGCAGACGAGTGTTCCATTATCGTTTACTAGTGGTCCGTGGGTGGAGCCAAAACTTTCTGTATGGTGATTGGTATGCTGCTGGTTTCCAATTTCACGAGTGGGTTTTAGTTCGGTGCATTGAATGAGTTGATGCGATCCAGTGGCAACCCGACAGAAGCAATATTTGATGGAGCTAAAATGATGGTGTGTAGTACGTTGTTGGTTACCAATTTGCAGAATGCTACAGATGGATGGTTTGGTTTGGTTTGTTTTGGGGATTCCCGGATCAATCTGGTAGCGGTGTTGAGGTTCCGTGTCATATCAGCCAATTTCTCGTTCCAATTGGTCGGCGTAAACGGAATCGAAAAGATTGTGATTCAATAACTGATAAATGTTTTATATGACGTTTCATCCCGTGACGATATGACGTCGTATGTCCACCGTATTCAATAAAGTTTTTCCAAGAAGCAACCAGGATATACTATATTCATTAACTATACTTTGAACTCATCGCCAACATTAGTCTAATAGTTTAAATGCACTCAACCGTGAGACGAACTCGGTCACGCTTAATAGTACATTTACGGTCGTGTCAAAATATTCTCTATCTACGAACTGAGTGAAGTCCACAAGTTTGTGAGAATTATAATCTCTGGTCAACAATACGTTTGTAGTTGAAATAAATTTGACTGTTTTTTTTACACAACTTTGTTAGATTTCAAATAAATTTTATGCGTTAAAGAACCCGGGTATGGGTATTTCCCTATATTTTAAAGGAGTAATACCACATTTGTTTTGTGTGAAGTAAGATAATATTAACATCAACTAGATGATGTTTCCATTGCAAGTCTCAACTTTCTTGTGAATCTGGCGGTTCTTTCAGAAAGTGGTTATCAGTATAACATATTGTTTATGTCGATCTCTGGTTAATGTAGACATAAATATGGTTCTTTTGTTTATGTCGATCTCGGGCTTATTTCGAGGTGTATGTCGTTCTAGAGTTTAAGTCGCTATTTGGTTAATGCCGTTCTTCATTTTAAGTCGATGTCGGAATTAGGTAAGATCTTTTTTTGCGAGGTATGTCATTTAAACGCCAAGCTTTTCTTTCCGTTGTAGATCTTAACAGCATCATGATACTGTCAAAGTAAATAGGGTTATATTGCAAGTCATGAAATAAACAATAAAATACAATTAAGCTTTTCAACCAATCATAAGTGTTCATGTACGATAATCTGGAAAAAAAGACTTTTTGACCTTTCTTGATCGGTCACTCGGAATTCTGCTGGTAATTATCTTCTAATTTAGCTAATTCTGGATTAATTATGAACATGTGAGACAAACTGATATTTTTCAATGTCATTAGAACACCTCTACTTTCTATTCATATAAGTATTATGTTTTCATTTTTATCAATGAAAATAAGGGAACCCATCGTTAGCATGGTTGGTTTCCATATATAGGGGCAGACTCTAACGCATACTTTACGCCTTCACAATATACTTACTATTAAACGAACGTCCATCTTTAAGGTATATTCTAGACCTGAATAAATAATACTATATTGATACTAAGAAAACATCTGAACCGTGAAATACCTGTATCTAATATTGACCTGTTACCTTCACCCTACTTTAGTATTTACTGGTATAAACAGTGTGATACATTTACTCTCTGAGCAGGTAAGCTTTGTTTGTATGTAATATCTAGTAATTGAGGGACAAGGTATCACCCACGGGAACTATTATCACGTCCAGTAGGGGTTTATTTTGTAATCGAGCTAATATTAACGAGTGTTATCTCCTAAGTTTGATTTCAAGTTAAGTCACAAGTCTCTAATAGCCAAAATAATGTAACCCTCTAATGTATCTTAAATTTCCTCAGTAAGGTGATGGTTTGATAATGGGATTTGTCAACTTGATAGTGTTGAGACAGACAGCTGATATTGACCCAATTCTCAAAGAGATATGAGGAATATTTCTTCTTAGCTTGTAAAATAAAATGAACAGCTTTTACGTCGTACTTTTCTGCTCCTAAGATGGTAGATCTTGGTGTACAGATTACAACATGATGTTCATAACTTTAAACATTTTAATCCCGAATTACTGAGATCATGATAAATATAACTATGTCTAGCCTACATATCTAATACGTATATAGTGCATTGTCAAATCGCAGTCAAATAAACAGTCTGAACATTTTCCATTGTATTTGATGTTACTATCTTTAGAAATCCACCATATTGTCAATATATGAATGTTTTTCATATCATAAGGAATCAAATAACCATCTTTAATAATTCAATGGAATAATAATAGGGTTTATAAGACTAATAGCTTAGATTGCTCACTTATTGCGTTGAAAAAATACTTCCCAATCCCAAAAATATCTTAGATGATGTGATAGCTAGTTTACTATGAACTTGACATGATTTTAAGTCCGTCTTTTATGTTTTTTATTTACCTGTCTGACACTTACATACAGGCGATAAATTTTAGTAGATGAAAAAAGAGAAAACTAATGAACATAACAGTTTATTACTGAAGACAAATAAAAACAATATTATTTTTTACGAATGATTTCTATGAATTTAACATGTATTTCCTCAACAAAATTTCTTTTAAATATTTTTTGTAAACATTGATTTATCGATTAAGAATAACTATATATAAATATCTGTTGGTAAGGAAGTTCGACAAATATACAGTGGGGGTTAGAAAAATGTTTTGCCCCCAAATTGTACTCCCTCTTTATTTTTTTTTTACAAAAAGTGAAGATTTTTATCCATTTTTGCCTCTAAATATGTGTCAGAATACATCAAATTAATTCTGTTTTTCGGAAATTTTCTTATGAGACCCCTTTAAGACGCTTCATGAGAGTCTTGCGACTATGACGCCTCAAAGAGTTGCCGCATTTTGAATTTCAGTCTCCACAGTTGTCCCCCATTAAGTCAGTATGTCCCATATTTGTACCGCAAGTCTCGGAGGCTGGCATCGCCACTACGAAGATTATGTAGCCTAGTATATCTGAGTATAATGTAGTCTGAATATATGGCTTTGATCTGCTTGATTAAAGTTACATACTATTAATTCTATTATAGTATTTTTTCTACATATGTTATTGTTTGATGGAAACAATACCAACTCATATTGCAAGATAATAAATCTCTAAAGCTTGTTATCCTGTACCTTTTAACTTTCTTTGAGATTGAAACAAAGACATGGTTATGTTCCTTATGCTAGATAATGTCCTCAGTCACATCTTTTCTCCTGTTTTGTTGTCAATGTTTGATTTAAAGGTGAAGCATACTAACTCCCTTCTTATTAACGCCCTGAAAGATAGTACAAAATATATACAATATGCAAATATATATATAACTTCTACTGTCTAGAATTAAGAGCTCGGATCTAACCTTGGAAACATTCAAAATATTGATTCGTTCTTCTGAATTCATTGATACTAATGATAATTATAATTCTTTGTATTTTTATCTTGTCAGTTGCTGCACTGGCTAAATTTCCCTCATTACACACTGCATGGCGTTGCCCGTCTTCATTAGTCCAATTAGGTTTTGAAAAGTAGGACACTTCTCAGTGTACCCTTAACGCTTTTGACATAAAATACCTATGGGAAAATTTTGTTGATTATTGTGAATATATATTTCTGTCCGAATAATTCCTTAAATGAAAAATTACAGCTGAATTTGAAAATTTTAAAATCGGCCTGTTTTGAGAAGAAGCGTAGTTAATAAATCTGTTCACTCCCTATACAGACATCTGTATACCTTGGGAGAAAAATTTCGAAATACCCCCCCACCCCCAATCCAAATATAAATGTTCTGTAATACATCCTTGGTATTTATATTTTATGTTATTTCAGAGTTAATAGACCGTGGCGAAGATATAAGAACCAGGTAAAATTACCAATAAAACTACAATCATAACTCATTCTTAGAAATAGGTTGTCCTTTATTTTACGTGTTTAAGAGTGTACATAGAAAGATACTAAAATATTACCAGATAAACTAGTCTCTGAGGAAAACATTCAGCCGTAGATTGGAGAGGATTGATCTTACGAGTTGATATCAATTGAAGAGCAACGTCGGTTATTATTGGAGTATTTGAACACTGTATGATTTTGCAGTATTGGATTTCAAAGTGTTATTATATTCAACAGTTGTGCTACATGATAATCGTTAGGGGACAGGTAAAGGTTTCTTTATCATGACTTGTTGACAACAAATTGATCGTAAAATATGTCACATGGACAGCAAATCACGGAAAGAACTATAAACCTAGTCTTACACAAATCGCCATGATTAATCAGAAATAGTACTATAACAAGAGAAGAATGTGGAACTAAGCTAAATGTATGCACGGCGAAACTAGTGTTATCAAACTAAATTCCCAATTTTACCAACGAAAGAAATGAACTGGCTAACGGCATTCTATATTTGTGCAATCAACATTTCGATATGTATGAAAGTTTCCGGCACACCGTACTGCAGACCTCGACCTTTATCTGAAGACGGTGATGTCCGTATAGCTGGTATCATTCAAATCCACAGTTCCGAGAAGGGAAAATGCAGTGTCCTTTCGGATAATGAGTTCCAGATAGCCGTAGCTCTGAAATGGACAGTGGATATTCTAAATGGTGGAAACGATTCGACACAATCTTTTATACCTGGAGTTAAAATTGGTAAGTTTTGGCACTTCTAACTGACATCTGCCCGTTAAAGCAAATATTCAAAAGAGCTATTAAGTGGTGCAGGCACCAAACAAAAGAAAAGGGATAAAACTCCATTTACCCATCAGCATTACCATCAATAAGTCGAAAAAATTCGAAAGTTAGAGATGCAACGAACCCAGTAGCCATCATGAAAGGAAAAAATGTTGCGTTATTTTTCGCGGATAGATGTCTGTATTAGTTATTAGTCAAAATAAATATCATATTTAAGATTTTTTTTGTAACGAAATCAATTTCTTATTGATCCCCCCTTATATCCGTGTAAGTAGTAACATTTTTTCAAACACGGCTATAAGTGCTCTGATATTTTTCAGGATATGATATTTATGATGATTGTGGTTTAGAAACATTATCCAGTCGACGAGTTTCAGACATCCTGAAAACAGTACATCAGGAAGAATGTTTGGCCTCCAATCAATCAGAGATAAATACACCCATTGTAGGTAGGTTTAGCCTTGTCAACACCCCTTTTATGATTATGACTTGAACCACTCCCATTATAGGTAGGTTAGACCTTGAACTTTAACTATTTAAGGGAGGTTTAGCATAAAGGCCGTCCCATTTTAGTAAGGCTTAACCTTTCAAGTGCCACCTATTTTAGATGTATGACAAAGCCTAATTTTTATAAAGTTGTGAACCGATTGTGCACGTTAAGCCACGACTTTCTCTAGCCAAATGCAGTTTATTGATCAAAGTTATATATAATTCTACCAAATTGACATGTTTATTCAGTTATCAATTATATATTGCTTGTGTAATTGTTGCTGATTAATTTTGTTTGTATGTATATAATTTGGGCGAAATGCAAGAAAGGGTTTTTAGCCTAATTTGTTACCCTAATAATTGATTATTATTATTATTATTGATGATCCTTTGACGGTTTCGAATCGTAAAATAGTAGACTAATGTCACGGTTCTGGTAAAATTGTCTTCAGCTCTCATGGTGTGACGTTGTCTGTCTACATAGCAGAAAGGTATGGAATAAAAACACATTTAATTTTAAATGGACCTCGTCTTTGCAGGTGTTGTGGGGACTACTTTCAGTTCAACAACTACCACTGTATCCAGATTACTGACGGGAACAGCTTTACCATTGGTAGGAATGTCAGCCACCCTAGCAGAACTCAGCAACAAAACACTGTATCCAAATTTTATTAGACCAGTACCATCTGATACACGACAGGCTAAGGTGGGTTGTTGAATTGGTACGAAAACGGACTTCAATTGATTATAAAGAAGTTGTCTTAAAATTTGGTTTGTATCAGAGTCACTGATAACATCAACTTGCACAAATCTATAAATACAGAAACGATGGACATTAAATGGCATTAGAATAAGGCAAATAGAAGCAACCCTTTTAGGTTCACCAGCTTGGGCGAACTTAAAATTGAATACGCTTGTTAGGTGCTAGATATACGACGAAAGATACATATCTGTGAAGACAACCAACGAATTTCCCATGCATTGTTTTATTTTATTCATGAGTAGTTCAGTCAAGGCAAGGGAGATAATGCAAGTATAGACATTCACGCTTGATGTTAGTAAAGAACCGATAAAACTTAATTATCATGATCAACAAGCTAGCTGTTATCCAATGACAACTGTCTACTCTGTGTTTAGATATAAAAATATAGAATCCATAGGCAGTTAAACAGAACTATTCGACAAAATTAAGTTACGAAGAGACGAGGCACGGTATACGGTTCGGGGTTATCAATACAGTTGACACATTAAAAGAAGAAGTGAACACACCAGGTCCTTACATAGAGGGCATGATTCGCTTTTCCTCTTTTTCTTATTGTATACAGCACCGTACACCGCAGTGGGCGCGATTACACTCGTCTATTCGCAACTTAATTTAACGTTGTTTTGTAGGTGATGGTAGAAATAGCTGAGAAGTTGAATTGGAACTATATAGTTGGTATTCATACCAGTGATAACTATGGTACTAAGGGCTTTAAAGCATTCAGACGTCTAGCATCAGACAGGGAGATATGTATCAGTGATACTTTTGTTATAAACAGACAATATTCAAACTCAACGGACAGTCTTACGACCTATCTCAGAAGACTACTGTTTAAAGTAACTGGTACTGTCAACCAAAGCATCGGAGTTATTTACTTTGGGCAAGTGGAAGAGGGCACCCAGATCTTCAACATCATCAAGAATAGTGCCCAAAAGTGGCAAAATATTGAAAACGCTCATCGCATCCATTGGTTAATGAGTGATGGTGTGGGAAAAGGAAATCCGGTTGCTTCTGGGCATGCGTGGTTATCAAGTCTCCTGTTAACAGTTTCTCCAGCAGATTTCAGACTGAATGAAATAAAGAACTTTTTCATCGAGTTGATATCCCGATATGATGATACGAGACTGTCTCGAGAATGGCGAAATCTAGTAGTCGAGTTCATCAATGTGTACATGAAATGCGAACCTTCTACTACTACTGATTCTGGCTTACCAGAATGTGATTTTAGCAATTCTGAAATTAATATTGGAGATTACTTTTTCACAAATCCTTACGCCTCTTCCGCCATTGACTCAGTCTTTATTTTAGCGTTAACATTGAAGAATGCTCACCAACAGCTCTGCAATGGAGTACCAGGGGTTTGTGCACGACTGAAAACAGAAATCGAGAACAATTTATTAAAGACTCTTTACAAGCCATCAAAGATTTCATATCAAGAACAGGGGAGACAATTTGTACCACAAAAGTTTTTTGAAGATGGTCGAGTATTGGCTGTCGATAGCAATGGTGATTATGAAGTGAAAGGAGAAGCTTTATATGATATCAATATTGCCAAAAATGGAAATTTCGCAAAGGTAATTTTATTTAAAATAAATGACAGGCTAGTTTGAAGTTTGCACAATATGATATCGTACAATTTTACCCACTGACAAAGAAAAATATTTTTAAATGACATAAACGAATTGGCTAGATTATCATAGCATGTAGAAGTGAGATGAGCATCCTGTTTCTAGGGCAGGATCCTGCCGCTTAGGCATAAATATAAATGCTACCCGTGTCATTTTTCAGAATGAAAAGACATCAATGAATTAGCCACTAGCCATGCACAAACTTTCTCTTTCAGGAGTACAATTCTCTGCTTACACAGTTGATTCATACAGATTAATTATTGATATCCGAAACATATGAAAACTGAAAGTAGAAATAAATAAACTTGGTATTTCGTAATTCTTTGATTATCCGCCCAGAACTTATTCTTTATGGAAATCAAAAAATCATTCATAAACTAAATTGAATAATTCGGAATATTTTTGTTATTTTAAGGTTGGGTACTTTAAAGATGAACAACTAAATATGGACGGTTTCGCTTCTAAGTGGCGGGAACCAACTAAGTCATGGTGTAAGGATGTGTGTGTCGAATGTCTAGAAACGAAAGAATTGCAATTCCATTATATTCCTGGAGACGTACTGATTCTAGGACTATTCCCAGTTCATGGTCCAGGTGATGGATACAGCTGCGGAGAATTCAGAAGCTCTGACACCTCTTTCGTTGCCCTCCTCTCCTTCATTAGCAGCCTTAAAGACTTGCGATCAAAGACAGGAATAAACTTTGGAGGAGTAGTAATGGACGATTGTTATAATCCTCTACGAGCTGTTCACATTCTTAATAAATTCTTCAGTGGTTCCAAAACATTATTCGACAAAGCGTCTGGAACTATTGTGGATCCCAGTAAAGTTGTCGCCGTGGTCGGGGCCCAGTCAAGTAGTATCGCTCTTAACATTCTTCCATCCTTAACGGAGCTCGGAATACCACTTATATCTTACAGTGCGACTTCGTCTGATTTAGATGATAAAATTAATTACCCATATTTTCTAAGGACGGTCCCGAGTGACACTCAACAGAGTATCGCTATTTATGAAATAGTGAAACTGCTAAAAGCTTCCCATGTCAGTGCCATTAATGTAAATAACAACTATGGACGAAAGGGTATCGCCAAGTTTATCGAATTCGCTGAGGTGAATGGAATTTGTGTCGAGAAGTCGATTGAGCTGAGTGAACGTGATGTGAATAAAAACATTCTACTCGACACCATATTCGCCTTTAGAAAGAACCAAGCTCGTTATGTGATATTCTTTGGTTTAAGCTCAATAGCGATTGATCTATTGGATACATTAGACACAGATAAAGATCCATTGGTATTCATAGCAAGCGAAACCTGGGGACGGAATGTGAAAATAATTCAAAATGGACGCGACATTAAAGCACGAGGATCGATAACTCTCAGCGTAGAAACTTCCCATGTAGCTTCGAACAATTTTAAAGCATATTTAGAGAGTTTGACTCCGGGAACGGATTATCCTAAAACTTGGTTTAATTCCTTTTGGAAATCAGTATTCCAATGTAATGTTTTAGGAGGATTTGAAAATATATATTCTAAAACATGTTCTTCGGATCTGAAATTAGACGCTACAAGTATTCAGATGTACGCCAACAATCAAAGAAGCGTCCAGACTATAAATGCCGTTGTTGCAGCAGGTTTGGGATACAAAGCTACAGTTGGGAACACATGCAGTCGTGTATCAAAGTGTCCGAAACCAAATCCAGAACATTTTGTGTTGAACATCCGTTCAGCGTCCACACCAAACAATGCAGGGATGAGTTTTGGGATATTTGATGAAAATGGTAATGGTAAAACAGGGTTTATGGTGAATAATATTCAGAGACTTTCTGCTGGGAATTATGGCTATGTAAAAGTAAGTCAAAATTCTTAACGTGGAGGTCTCATAAAGGTTCAGAATGAATGTAAATATTTTAAACTCAGACTTTAATACACCAGATCTGAGAACTTCAAAAATAATCCTACATCTACAGGGGCTGAGCAGAGGCCAAAAAATTTTTTCAGGAGGGGTGGGAGTGGGGATCTGGCTGCATTGAATTAGATTTGACTATATATCGCATATGAAATTTTAAAGCGGGTTGACAACTTCGGCTTTCAAACCTTTATGAAACATAATTAAACAATGAAAATTACAACCCCTACAGGAGAATGTTGAACGACATCTTATTCTGTTGACTCTGTTGACTCTCTTCTAGACATTTGATTTATATATATCAAAATAATTTGAATTTTGTTCTAGGTTGGTAGTTACGAGGATGGGAATTTAGCTGTGCAAGCCGACAAAATACGGTTCTACGGTGAAGTTGGAAACATTATCCCTGCACCAGAGTCTCCGTGTCGATACAAACCCAGCTGTGCCCGGGTCTGTCCAGTTAACGTTTCACCAGTCACGACACCTAATACTGGCAATGGAGACGGAGTACCTGCTCGTTCGCCGACCGCCGTGGAGTCTTCCGACAACGGATACATAGCCGCAGTCGTTGTCCTATCAATCATTATTATCGTGCTATTCATATTTCTTGGAATGCTAATATTTCTTATTCTCAGACATGGTGGAATTGTCTATTTTGGTAAGTCTTGGTATAAGAATAAGTATTATTACAATATAAGTGCGCTCACCAAAAGTATCGTCTTATACATTGATTGCAATAGTCACCTTTCTTGTATCGTGAATGCAGCGATGTTATCGGATTGTACCCCAGCAAATAAAACCAATACAACATAAAGACTGTAAACATTATTGTTTACAGATTTTCTGTTAAGGCTTCTGATTGACTGTATTTTTTGGCATACTATCCAATCAAATAGTTCCATTTACAAACTCCTGTGACACACGAAATCTGGCTAATGTAGTCAAGGTATAAGACGTATTAGCTTGACATTGTGAAGATTTTGTCCGAGATAAACCTTTGTTGCAGGCGTTGGTACGTTACTCACCAAAGCGGAAAATCACTAAAAAATTGGCAATCAACCTTAATTTTGTTTGAAAAGCTGTATTCATTGCTCCTCGGTCCCTACTGAGTTATTTATTCTAAGAAATAAAGTCTCTGTGTAAGCCTCACTGCACGAGTAAAATATAAGCAACAATGAAAGAGTAATGAGAAATCTGTTTTTTTTTTCGAAATTCATAAATTCTCATATTCATAAAAGCTACCTAAGTATGTAAATAACATCGAAAAAATGAATTTTTACTGCAGGTCGAAAGCCACCCATACGAGAAAGACGTGATATTGATCTTCCACTTCCAACGCCGAGCGGCGAGTCGTACCATCCACATTCATCCTGCTACGACTCTCCAGGACGCTGTGATATAACTGTACCACAAAATAATTCCAGTTCTTCTCACCCTTCTACTAGTGTCATATCAACTTCAACGAACCAGCCTTCATCGTCCCTAGGAATTCCGACCAGCTCCAGTAGCAGAGAGAGTGATCTAGAGGAGCAACCATCTGACACCAACCAAGTCCAGTTATCCGTTCCAGTGACCTATTTACAACTAACTCCAATTTCAACGGACGTCGTTTCTGTAATATCCAATGGACCACAAGTCATGTACCACAAAACGCCATATCTTCATCCATCCCAATCATCATATCACCAACCCATGTTAACCATGTCACCAACATCCCCTTTAGTTCATACACAGATTCAAGATTCTCCGCGAGGCCAACAAACAGTTACGTCCCCTGGCTATCTTCACGCGGTTCACACGAACGATCATTCTCCTGATACTTTGAAAAGAATTCGTGACCAAAATGATTCCGTTAAAAATGAAATGCATCAATCGCTCTCTCAAGTATCCGGAAATCCAGATCAATTAGCTTATAATGGAGGCGCCACTGTTAATCCGTACCTTCATCCAGTTCATGTTTCAGAAGACGGGGTTCCTGATATCGCCTCCAGGCAAAGGACTTACAGTGAACCACCTCCGATTCAAACATTCAGACAAGTATCTTCTCGAGAATTTTCACCTACCCTGGATAATTATCCTCAAAATAGTGCAATAACATTTCAAAATCCAGATCAAACTGCTCAAGGATTTTCCCACAATGGGTTCACACCAAATGCTAAAATCCTGCCATCCAAAAGTGCGGAGACAGATACTATACGGCCTGAAAAGTCCGGCAAAGTCGGATCTACCCCGCCTGTACACCCCGAATATAAACGAACAACTTCTTATATCACCGGTGAGGAATTAAACCCATTTCCTAGTGCATGTGAACCAAATTATTCACGCGAAATGGATGTATGATTATTTGATTCATTTTTGTATTGAAACTTATTCGCTCAAAATTATGTTTGTTTGCCGTATGTTAGACTTCATCAATTGTTTAGGCAATGAGTCGGACCATTATTTTAAAAGGTCATACGGTACAAAATGATTGGTGAACGTAAACATACTTATATATTATCGTATATTTATATTTTTGATATATTTTACTATTTATAAAAGTTTTTTTTTGTATCGTTCTACGATTGATCTATGGAGCATTATTTTAACAGTGGTATTTTTTGTATCGCTCTACAATTGGTGTATTGAGTAATATTTTAACAATGGTATTTATATATCGCTCTACAATTGATGTATTGAGCACTATTTTAACAGTGGTATTTCTATATAGCTCTACAATTGATGTATTTAGCACTATTTTAACAGTGGTATTTCTATATCGCTCTATAATTGATGTATTGAGCACTATTTTAACAATGGTATTTCTATATCGCTCTACAATTGATGTATTGAGCACTATTTTAACAGTTGTATTTCTGTATCGCTCTACAATTGATGTATTGAGCACTATTTTAACAATGGTATTTCTATATCGCTCTACAATTGATGCATTGAGCACTATTTTAATAGTGGTATTTCTATATCGCTCTACAATTGATGCACTGAGCACTATTTTAATAGTGGTATTTCCATGCAACTCTACAATTGATGCTTTGAGCACTATTTTAACAGTGGTATTTCTATATCGCTCTACAATTGATGCATTGAGCACTATTTTAATAGTGGTATTTCCATGTAGCTCTACAATTGACATATTGAGGACTATTTTAAAGATGGGTTCCCTTATTTTTATTTATGAAAATGAAAATGCTATCTTCTGAATAGAAAGTAGAGGTGTTCTACTGACTAGTTTGTCTCACATGTCTATAATTAATTCATATTATTTGCTAAATAAGAAGAGAATTAGCAGTAAAATTCCAATGAGTGACCGACCAATAAAGGTCAGAAAGACTGAACATACATGGATATTTATGATTTATGACTTTTAATAAGAACATATAATGATATGATTAAGAATACATGATAATTCATTAGAAACTCCAATTAATCAAATAGTTTGCTTAATTTGACACTAAAAAATAAGGAAACCCATCTTTAACAGTGAAGATATTTGTATTTGTATTTGTTATTATGTTATTGTATTTTACTTGTATTGTTTTAATGGTTGTTTTCGATCAAGTGTTTCTATGCGATTACTATATGAAATTGATAATTATGATAATGACATAATATTGTTAATATCGTGTTTGATAAATGATGTGGTGAATTCCCAATATTATTATTCTTTTTTTTGCTATTCGGAAATTAACCATTAGATGTGCGCTTTTAAGGTAAAATATGTGTAAATATACCGAATAAACAACCATAACAGTGAGGTCCTTCCGGAAGGCATGCCAGCTTGACAAACCAAGTCGAGAAGGATATTATGTCGACCTGAAAATAATCAATACTCTGCGTATATTGCATTTCATTTTTGCCATTCATTCGATATAACACGTACAAATTCAAAAAAATAGCTTCATTAAATCCTTAATTGGTGTGTTCAAATTGAACATCTGATAGATAGATCTGAGGTCTGCAATAATTACATTATATGGAATAGAAAGAGGGGTTTATTTTTCTCAGCAATCTACAATACAGTTTTTCATTAAGCTGTATAAAAGCAATATCTTGATTCCAAGCTTGCAAAACAAATTGACATAAAAGTACATAAAACTTAGATGAGTCTAATTAATCCAGTCTATCTTCCCTTCACAATACTTCAAATATTGTAGACTCGATTATCTTTAGATCTTACAAGGTGGAATTCTGATTTATAAAAAAGTTAATCGAGTTTTTTCCTTACCACTTTGAGGAGATATATTAGATAGTGAATTCGTGAATCGCTGAGTTAGTGGATTTTATATCTGGGAAGTCACCCTGAACTTGTACTTGTATTCATCCATGAGCACATTTTTTCTATTATTACCCCCTATAAACATGTTTATACAATAAAATCATCCCCAATTACTTATTATCTACCCATTCGTGCGTTCATAGAAATATGTACATTTACTGCAGTTTTTGCACTTTTTGACGAGACTCCTATTTTTTTATTCTGTTGCTATCAATGACGGGTGTCACAGACAAGTTCAACCGTGGAGACTAGTAGATATAAGTGGATAAACATATACATCTACAGTACATTCCAATACTAGCTTTTACTAAAATTA